TGCTGAACACACAGAGATAGCTAACACACACACAAGCACATTAGAGCAACTTCACACATTTTTCAGTTTCTACCATTTCTGAACTCTATTTGATTTCTCATGGTTTAGCAGTCTGAATGGGAATTGACAGACTCCCAGGAAACAGACCAGAAGCCCCATCTTCTGTAACTGTATTAATTCCACCTGTAGAAAACATATAAAACTAAAGCCATCAGAAGCATGGAACAGCTCTACAACACAGGCAAAATAAGTAACGACGGTAGACCATACGCAACATCAGCACAGCAGGAAAAAAGAGACATATTGGTAACAGCTGGCATGACCATCGGGTGCAGAGCTGAGAACGGAATTGTACTCTTCACTTTGGAGAGGATGCTGTGTAATGATTACAGGCAGATACACTAAGCGTATATGTACGAATACACACACACTGAAAAGATGAACAGGTTTCTATACAGCATATGAAACATAAGATTATAATCCAAGCTCATAAAATCCTAATTTTGCCTGCCTGCAGAGAGGTACTGCATACAACAAAACACAAAAAAACCAGTGTGAGCTGTTACTTCAACATCACTATGCAAGGCACAGAAGGAACAATGTACTACATTACATGCAGTTTTATTTACAACAGGGTATGTAACTCAAGAACTGAACAAGTAAATAAATAAATCTCAAATTACAGCAAGCTGTAAAAGAGAGTAGCAAATTAAACGGTGCATCTTTTACAGTTAGTATAGAACTAGGGGAGAACGCTTGACTTTTCATGTCAGCTCAAGTCTTACAAAACATTACTGTCATACACAGCATCACGCTGGTTCTCTAAATCTTTACAAACAGCAATCCAGAAATAGCACACATCTGACAGAAACCAGGCGTAGCAGAGTATCAAGGTGGTATTTCCAAAATATCACTAGACATCTAGGCAAACTTTTAGACATCTAAACAACTTCATCTAACCCATAACTCATCAATTCACTGGCTACTTTCAGAGGCTGAGTAGTTAAACAACTATTGTAAGACATCTTCCATTTTTTCTGGTTATACATCCACCACACTGGTTCAGTTACAGAATCTTCAAATGCTGTTCGTCTGCATTTTAATGAACTGCAATTTCTATTCAATTGCACAAGTTATCTTGTAACAAGTGAGTCATTACCACTTCCTGGCATAATGAGATAGAAATGAAACTTAAGTTGTAGCTGCTGAAGTAAAATATGTACAAGTTTGTATAGCATCCTGCTTAACAAAAGATTACTAAAGGCCATATCCATTATGAAACACGTTTTAGCAGTTACACAAACAAGGAAAAAAAAAGTACTTTTCAGTTTATCCCCTAAAGACTTAAAGATGAAATGAAGTGATAATTACTGATTTAAGTCATATTTCAAAAATAGGAACTGAAAGCTGCTGACTGAAAAAGAGGAGGTGGTATTAATATCAGTCGTTTAGTTGTTCAGTGTGTATGTGTTAAATATTTGTTTCAGGACATTATCATAAGCAACCACAGAAATTAAAAAAAAATTATACAAAATTATAAAATAATCCTTTCAGGAAAAAGTTGGACCAGACAACTTCTAAAAGTCCTATCCACCCAATATCCTCTGATGTTATGAAAATCTGAACCACGTTTATTCTGTAATTCATCTGCTACACGTTAATAAAATAACTTAATTTTCTCAAGGAATTTCTATATACACACACACGATGTATATTTATATTACACATGCATGTCTTTAAAAACACTCCCAAATGGTGAAGACAATTCAACAGTGGGAAATATTGAATATAAAGCACCTTAGATTCTGAAATGTTAAAACATTTTCTCTGATTACTATCACAGGTAAGCCCAAAGAAGCAAGCCACAATTAAAAGACACAGCTGTTACAAAACTTTTAATACAAGCTATAAATTTGGAAGAAAAAAAAAAAAACAACAAAAACCATACAAACCAAAAGCCAGTAGAAATTAATGACAACACTAAAGAATTATTCAGATTGATCATGAACAGATAAATTCAAAATAATTACTGGCTTGATGGTAGACATGACTGCATAAACACTTAAATAATGCTAAAGAAAAGTGATACTTTTGTTCTGCATTCAAAAAAAGCAGAATCACATTCATTTCTTACAATCATAAAATAAATATTTCCTATTCTACCAAGAATAGGAAACATAAGATACAGCAAGTATGTCATCAAATCTGGAGGACCTGAACCCAGACTGCGTCTTAAACTCAGCCTGAAACCCATGGGCAAGTAACACTTGCATGCTCCCCATTTATTAAAAATGCTAACAAATTCAAAATTACCATCACCTAAACAAAGTTTAAGGGGGAATCTGAAAAGAACAGTCCAGCGAGAATGACAGCAAAATTTCCCTTCTTAAGCTGCTACAGATTTCTATCTTTAGGACTGCTTTTAGATGTGTTAGGGTTGGTCTTCCCCATCATTTCACTCTTTAAAAGAGCAATCAAAATATTTGGCAATATACAGCACCAGTCACGCACTGATTCCTTCCAACTACTGACGACTGGAGAGTGCATATGAAGCCTGACATGTTCTATAAGGTAAGGTATATTAATCCACCTTTGCATATAAGGAGAGAACCTCAACAGTTTTAACCTGTAATAACACAAACCAAAATGAAATTAAATCTTGTGCTAAGGAGAGCATAGAACCAAATCAGTAAACACATACAGCAGACCTTTTATTAGTCAAATTACTCTTAGTTGACATTAAAAAGAGCTGCCACTTTAACAACTCATAATACGAATGTGTGTTAAGTGATTAGCTTGCAGAGTTAGTACCAAAAGAACAACCTGGACTCTCTCATCGCAGCTACTGCAGAACTCTGTTACTAGGAATAATAAAAAGACAAAGTACCAATATATTCAGATTTTTTTAAGTGACGGCATCTAAATAGTCTGAACTAACTGTAAACCAGTCAAATTTGATCAGTAACCAAGACACAGCTGAACTTCAGTGTAGCTTCCCCCCCCCCCCGCCCCGATTAATTTTACGGGTTTTTAAGAGTTTGCTCTTACGTCAGTGTCAGGGGGAAAAAAAGAACTATTGGTCATATCTCATCTCACCATGAATTTAAAGTCTCTCCTTTTAAGATAGAAGAGTCACTATACTTTGCTTAGGCAGTCTAAATAAGGACGACAGTAAATTTGCTACTATTTCTTAAAAATGTCTGTGTCTTGATCTTATGAAGCACTTGTGTGCTTAGCTAACAAGATCCAGATTATCTGGTGGGTATTCCCCTCAAACAATCCCAAAAGTCAGACTGAGGTAATTAGCAATCCCATACTGCTCTGAGAAAGTATTTTAAACCCACTTATCTTCCACGACACAAAAAAACCTTCCAGTTAAGTCAGTCAATAAGGCTAACCAAGTAAAGAGACTGAAACACCATAACAAGTTCTCGTACTTTTGACCCTGGCTGGCAGCCAAACACCACACAGCCACTTCCTCACCTTCCTTCCTCCTGGGGATGGGGGAGAAAATTAAAAGGGCAAAGGGAAAAGAGACGTGTTGGTGGAGATAAGAACAATTTAATAATAATATTAAAAGTAATAATGATGATAAAAATAGTAATATTATATATATACAAATGAGTGATCCACAGTGATACTGCTCACCACCCGATGACCAAGGCTCAGCCCATTCCCAGCCAACGATCCTGGAACAGGGAGAGTCTCAAAACCACAATCCCAGAACGGAGATAAGAGCCCGAGTGTCCAAGAGACCAAGCCAACCCTGAGAGAAGGGCAACCTGGACGGACACAACTCAGAGCAAGAGGGGATGATCTGGAGCCAGAGAGAGAACTTCTGGACAGATCCTCATCTATATACCGGGCATGACATGCATGATATGGAACAGTCCAGTGGCCAATTTAGGTCTCAATCCTAAACTTAAGGTGGAATCCCAGGCTAGTACGCGGCTGTGCTGCCTCCCAGCTTCTCCTGCCCCTGCAGACACTGGCACAGCAAAGAAGCTGAAAAGTCCTTGACTGTCCTGGCAGTAGCTATAACCAGTGTGTGATCAGCCACCTTTTCAGCACAAACCCAAAACACAGCCTCTCACTAGCTACTGTGAAGAAAGTTAACTCTGTCTCAGCTGAAACCAGGACACAAGTGATAAACAAAAAAACTATTAAGAGCTCCAAAATTTTTTTTAAATGCCCTTATCAATCTATATTAATACCAGCTACTACAGGTAAGCTTAGTGCCCACATTACACCAAGCAAAGCAATAGTTACAAAAAGTAAGTGGAAACTACATTCCTCTCTGCGGTACAGGAAGGTTATTGTGTTCTCATAATGAGGACCAAAAAAAACCAACAAACCCAAAGTAAAAAACACTGTCTAGCCAACAATGGCAAGGCTAAGCAAAATCAAATCTGTAGGAGAAGCCAGCTTATTAACTAGACTATCATAAGAATGCACATTTCAAGGCAGCATGGTAAGGGTTTTGGGTTGTTTTATTTTTGATACCACCTCAAGCCGTGCCAGAGTTCATCTAAGAGGCAGCAGTAACTTCAAACAATCACTTCCATGTTCCCAATTTTCTAAACAAAGGTAGTCTCTCTTTTATTGTTAACTTTTAAAATAGTACACATAATTTGAAGTTTGAGTAATACAATGGAGCAGGTCTGATTTGATCACAAATACTAATTTTAAGATCCAGCTCTGGTTAACAAAGACTGCCAGTTACAAACCCATAACACCTCTACCTACAAGTTTCATAACATTTGTTTGAATTCAACTCCCATTTCTGAAGATCTTCCAAAAGATTATGAAGGAAATGTTTTGTCAGTTTCACTAGGCAGGAAGGAAAAAACAGGAAGATGCTCAAATATAATTGTAACTTAAGTCATAGATACCAGAGTCATTAACAAAATACTGCAAGGTACTTCTAGTAGGCCATTTACTTACCTCCACTTGCTGATTCTTGCTCTTCCCCTTCAGGAAACGTAGCCTGGCTTGGTAAGCTATTCCTAGAACGAGTGACTGACTCTAAGTGTGAAGCCCTTCCCAACAGAGATAGCTCATCAAGCACCTCTCCTTCTTTGGCTTCCAAATCAGATTTTGAAGTGGTTAACTGTTTTATGTTACCTGGTGCCATTAAACTATTTGGGTCATTTAAACAAGCTACAGTACCACTGTCCAGGCTTAATACTCTGGCACGATTCTTGGCACTGTTTGTGCTAGAAGTCCGACGTGTAGATCGTTTTTTGCTAATTCCTTCCGAGCTTACGTGGGTTTTGTGAGCATTTTCAGGGTCCATGCCCCCACGTTCTTTAGAAACGTATTTGGTCTTTAGAGCACTGTACTTTCCCTCAGGAGACTGACATGAATGGGAGGTGGTGCTGGAAGAGCTATCACTGCTGAACTGGTGAGCAGACTGCATACTTGACGTCCTGCTCAAGTCACTTTGATCACTGGAGTCCTCATCGTGACAAAACACAGCACTGTGAGGTTTAGTACCAGATACACCTCGAAAGGAAACATATTCCCTGTGCCGACTTGAATCAAAACTACTAGCCCGCTTTTTTCCTGTCCTTCTGCGGCTAGACTTGTGGGTAGAGGCTGTTCGATGTATTAGACTAGAAGATTTTGGTCGAACATCTCCTTCTTTTTGTTTTCCACTTGTTTCTTTAGAAGCTCTTGTATCTAACACAACTAGTTTCTCACTCTGCTCATCTCTTTGTTCAGCAGCCTTCCCAGGCGGTCTGTCGGCTTGCGTAGTCAGTTCATTAGCATGTGGGTTCTTATTGGCCTCTTCTGAAGCAGAGGCACCAAGACCTTTCTGACTGTGCATCTCATCAGATGCATGAGAACCCTTTAGCTCTTGAATACCACCACTGTTAATGCTCACTTCCACAGCGGTCCTTTCACTACTAGTCCTTTTGTCAGTAGTAGAACTACTGTCATCCTCTGAGTCAACACCACAGTCCTTTTTCTTACCGTCCTTTTTCTCTTCTCTAGGAGACTCCTCCTCGTGCTCTGACAACACACTTTCTATATGTGTTGAGCTAGTATGTTCACTTTTATAGCTACTGATGGTACTGTTGGTGTCACGATCAGTCCCACTGCAGTAGCTTTCTGTTGAACCACTGCTTCTAGTACTCAGGCTTCTCAGACTGTCCACACTTTTGTCTGCTTTCAAGGATTTGCACTTCCCACTCTTAGCCAATGGTTGAGGACTGCTACTTTTCAGAATGTCATCTAATTGAAAGACTCCTGAAATGCAAGAGTTCTCAGCCAAGGACTCTCTGGATCCAGAAGGGGGCTTGGAAGCTTCTAACTCACTGACAGGATCTAGTCCTCGTCTTTGCTGATAGAGAGGGAAGTCATTTAGTGAAGCATCTGGAAAAGCAACAGCAGAACTAGAAGTCCTTGGTACACCACGTGGTCTATGATCCTTCCTATAGGAGTGAGAATGCAGAGTTATAAGCGAAGCTACTTCTGTGTCACATGCACTGGTTTTAGACTGGTCCACAAGCTGGTTGTTCGAGAGGCACACTTTATCACTGTTGTCTCTTGGTAAATCCTGTCCAGAGGATAACGAAGGTTGGATGGAGACAAACGAGTCATTCGACACCAGACGAAAAAGCTTCCGATCAGTTGCCAAATCTGTTTAAGTACATATTTAAAAAAAAAAAAAATCATGTAGAATGTTTATGTAAGTCATACAATCTGCTTTACAACTGCTTGTTTATATCAGATAAAGTAAACAAACTGACAAATCCATTTGCAAGTACTATAAATCACATTACCATTTAAAAGACTTCCTAGCATCTGGGAAAACCTGACAGATTTTTTTTTTATAAAAAAGAAACCATCAACACCAGCTTAATCTTAGCAGCTAATAAAAGACAACACAACACATCCCCAACCTCCTTTATTGCTCATGTGCCTCAGACTTAATGTTTTTATGTATCACAAAGTTTCTTAGTTATAAAAAGGTAGCCTGCCTTTCATTTCTCACATGAGTAAACTGTATCACATAAACTTCAAAATTATCAAACAAAACAAAGTAAAATTCAAAATTAATTTTGAAGTCACAAAAACAGAAATCACCTTTCCTATGACATACCAAGTAAGCTAGGATGCAGGCACTGGCACAGGTCTGTAGGGAGTCTCATTATAGGACCAATAAAGTTATAAGTTTTACTAACTCTAAAATTTCTGCCATTAAAGCAAATCATGAGGATTTGCTGTTAGCTCTTGGTCAGAATAACTGCTTCCATTATCTCTCACAACATGCCTCCTGTAAAAGTGTCCACTTGCAGGTAGTACTGAGAGTCAGGCTACTTTCCTTTTTGGTACTGTCACTAAAAATAGAAGATTTGGAGGCCAAGTTAAGTTACTACAGCTGCTAAATTTTTGTAGAGTGTATTTGCACATTAACTTCAGAGACTTCACAAACAGTTCCATTACTCAGCTGAAAGTAGTAGAACCCTGCCGCCTACTACAACAGCACGGCCACCTTTAATCCTCTATTTTAAGCATACTTTCTGCACTGAATTACAGTTAATGACCTAAAGGAACCCGTCAGTCTGATCAGACGGGCCAGAATGAACTAGAGTATTCCCAGAGTCAACTTCCTGCTAATCAACAGGTACTTTAAAATCAGCAAACAAAAGATTTCCTTACAGTTTTATGCTCTATTTTAGTCTGAGCAGATTTTTTTCCTGGCAATGAAGCTAAATGAAAAATGAGATTTGAAACAAAATTGGACAACTGAAGAATATAAACTAGCAGTTTTCTTATGTACTAGGAAAAAACAATTACAAAACTCTGATTGCTTGCATATTGGAAGCATCCTGTAGCTCCAGAAACACAGAACTGTGCAGGATTACTTACTTTACAGAAAAGCATGCCTGATTTTTAAAAAATTCATTTGGTTGTACTGGAAAGAAAAACACGCCTGATTTAAAAAAAAATAATTTGGCTATACTGGAAAGAAAATCGGTCTAGAAAAAAGTCCATGAATTCCAGGCCATGAATTTCCAGGAGAAAGATTGTCTAGCGACATGTAAACTAGCCATCTTTCAGCAGTGAGGAAACAGTAAATATTTATTACCTGCTGGAAGATGCCAGAACAAGAAACATGCAGCCAAAGAATAAAGTATTTAAGCTATGCATCCCAGGAACTTAAGAAAGGAAACAGAGCTTCAAGATAACCGTTCTCAGAGTCTATCAACAAATCGCATGAATTTATTTAGCATGTTTAGCAAAGGGTCTCTGGTAACAAAATAACATGTTTAATATGCAGAAGAAATGTTACCTTGTTCTTCGCTCCCTTCTTTACATAGGCTAGAACTCTGGCCAAGACTTAAACTGATATCATCAGAGGTCTTAGCAGTGTCAGTATCTCCTGTGAATTTTAAGGAAAAAGAGCTCAAAGTATTAATGCATATTTTACATACGCTCCAGATTTCTCATCTGTCATGAAAGACTGGTGCTTTTATTTCTTCAGTTGAAGGTAAATAATACTAATTACAAGCAGTACAAGATTTCTCTTATCTTTTAGAGAGATGCATTATCTACCCTATTTCTTTTATTTTGTATATACGAAAGTTTTCATTCAACTACGCAGATCTCCCATAAAGAATTGGAAAAGTATCTTACACAGCACTGAACGGAATTTTTTTTTTGTTAAAGGTAGATTAATTTGAATATTCTTTTTTGCATCATTACCAATAAAAATGAGGAGTAGATTGTAACAAATACTTGTAAAAATAAAAAAAGGTAAGGAAAAAAAAAATCAGGGAAGTGACAAAAATTCACTTTTAATTTTCTTTTGTCTTACAGTTGGCTTAACAAATTTACAGGATAGCAATTCTGCATATTACTGATAATTTAACTTTTCATCTCAGACGAGTGCACAAAGGCTGTCCTGGACAATACTTTTACCAGATGCCAAGGAACAAGAAATAACCAAGTCATCAAAATACAATACCAGAAGGGCGACTGGTTGCACAGAACTCAGAATAGTAAGGAAAAGTCCACTCAAACCAACCCCTAGGCTCTGCATTTACAAGCAAAATAAAAGCCTGTTGTTACACACAAGACAGAGCACGGATGCTAGGATATTCTCTCATAGTGTTCTAGGCTCATAATTTGCAGCTCCAAGGAAGGTTTCTTCCAATCAGTGTATGCTGTACTTGGCTCACAAAAAAGTTTAAGATGAACAAAGGAGACAATATTTGGAAACAACGTGTTAAACAATAGTGATCTGAAGTGCTCTTGTAAGGTAATTTTAAGAAGCAGTCAAAAATCTCACCTTTGATGGTTGCTGCTGTTCCCAGACGGGATAATCCAGATCCAACCTAGAAACAGGAAATTAAGTGAAAAGCTGTAAACTTTCAGGAACTACCCAGCTGCTGTTTCCTATTACTGCAATGCATGCATTTACCTATACTCCTAGGAGAGGTTTTTCAGATTATTCTAGGGAAAAGAGAGCGTAATTCTACTAATTCTTCTCTGTAAACACAGAAAAATTTCAAGTAATCTGAAGATGTGTGCAGATTTTGTTCAGCCATACTACAGAACAATGGCTCTGCTACGTGTAATGCAAAAACACAGCTGGAGATTGTTTAATGTATTTTCTTTATTACACTGTCACGCACACATTTAGTTAGTCATTTTGCCATGTTTCAACTTTTTTATCCCTTCAGTAACATGCCTTGCTGAATGCTGTAGCTGAATGCAAATACATTAGCATGAGAAAGCTATTTCACACAAAAAACTGAATTCAGATGTTTACTGTTCACATTCCCTTTTGATGCTGCAAATTCAATCACAGGGGACCAGCGAGCACTAATTTTATCAGCATAAACACATTTTAAACATTATACTTCCTTTCACAGTAGCTTTAACTGCATTATAATGTCAACACTAGCGCACAGAGGAGAGAACAAAGAGCTTCTTCACATGCTTTAAAAGTTATAAGTATGTTCGGAATAGTTGGTCGGTTTGTTCTTTTTCCCCCCACAGACCAGTCAAAGAGACGTGATCCCTAGCCTAGTTCTGTCTTTCTACATAGACCATCGTCTCCTTTGAACACTACCAAATACCTGCTCTCTTCAAAGGAGAAAATCTCTTAAGAGTATCTATGCTGCATAAGAGAGCATTATTTAGATCAAACACCAACATTAGCATAACACTGCACTACATTATATACTGCTTGCTCAGAGAGCTAATTAGGAGGACTTGATACAGTAATGCCACACCAAGGATTTCCACGGCATTCAAAAATAGCTTCTGCATCTTTAATATGATTCTGCATTGCTCATTGTTAACATAACCTTACAGTCTGGCCAGTCAATCTACTTGTCCTCATGAATAGCTGCTAAGAGAAAGATGTCACAACTGGCTAAACGTCAAAAGCCAAACAGAAGGAACAGCACATGCAGTGCTACGGAAGTGGAATGCATAAATCTTGCAGAGATAATAAGGAAACAGAACAACTTCCCCAGTGAAATCACAAGGCAACTAGAGCATAATCTGCAGCCCTCCTATCTGGTGCACAGAAGTGCATTGGGTTTGTGTGGTGGGCTTTTGGTAGCAAGGGGGAGGAGGGGCTATAGGGGTGGCTCCTGTGAGAAGCTGCTGGAAGCTTCTCTGGCTTCCAAGTCAGACCTGCTGCTGGCCAGGGACCCCACAGTGGAGCAAGGGAAGAGTGTGAGGAGTCCTCCCCCTGAGGAGGAAGGAGCAGCAGAAACAAGGTGTGACAGACTGACCACAACACCCACCCCCCTGCGCCAGTGGTGGGGGAGGAGGTAGAGCATTCAGGAAAAAAGTTGAGTCTGGGAAGAGGGAGGGGTGGGGGGAAGGTGTTTTCAAGATTTGGGTTTATTTCTCATTATCCTACTCTGATTTGATTGGTAACAAATTAAATTGATTTTATCCCCAAGTTGAGTCTGTTTTGCCCAGGACCACAATTGGTGAGTGATCCTTCCCTGTCCTTGTCTTGACCCACAAGCCTTTCACTATATTTTCTCCTCCCCATCTTCTCCCACTGGAAAGGGGCGAGGGGTAAGCAAGAGGCCACGTGGTGCTTATGCTTGCTGGGCCTACACCACAACAAGCAGCCCCTATTCATTGCTCTCTTCCCACCCTTGTTGAAGAGTCAAATGAGTGAAGCTTTTGCAGAGGTCATCCAAAAATAAACAGTTTTAGTCCTTCCATTTCCACCAGTTTATCTTGCTTTGTACTTTGGCAAATTAACATTTTTGACTGCAGAGTTTGAATTGCCAGGAATAATAACTTTCAGAAAGCCATTTAGCGTTGCAAGAGATAATCACAGTGGATATGCTCTAAGACTTAACAGAAGCCTCCTCAAATTCAGCACAACTGAAGTTTTCCAATTAATCATCTAAAAGGCAGATTAAACAAAAGTAAGGGAGGAAAACAAAGTTACAACATAAGGATGAAGTTACAGCTTGAGCTATCTAACAGTTTACTGACACCAAAAGGAAGAGGGAAGCCTACCACAGTGGGTCTTGGTACTTATCTGTCCATACTCAGACATTTTGATTTACTGAATCAGAAGAAAGCTAACTGAGCAAAAGGGAATACTTGCTGATGGGCCAGTAGGTTGCCTTATAAAAATCCAGCCATTCCTAAAACGAATACAAGATAGGAGAGTGCAATGCCACTCTAATAAAGCAGTGAAGAAATACAGAAAGGTAAGTTGTTTATCCTAATACAAATATGAAATAAATCCAAATACAAATATATCCAAATACAAAATGAAAAAAAAAAAAAATCAGCAAAGATTACTCTACAGATTGCAAAGCCATCAGTACTGCAATAACTGCAGTAGCTTTACTTCTTACCTGGTTGTTTGGATCTACCCCAGCATAAGAATTGCGTGAACTACAGCCAACAGGGGGAGTTGCTTCTCGTATGAACTCTGACATCTCAATCCCTCCACCAGGATCACTGAGAGAAACATAAAAGGGAAAAAAGAAAAAAAAAAAAAAAAAAAAGAACATTAACCTACCAGTTAAACAGAAGTTTGCCTGTCTACACTGAGTGGAGATTCAGAACAATTTTCCCCTTTTCAAATATCAGGGATGCAAATATATGACAGTATCTCAGACGACAGATGCCAGTTTGACATAGGAAGCTCACTCAGAGCTGGAACACCCTACATATAACGTCACAGAAGCTTCTGCCTTGTAAAGTCCACTGTCACCAGCCAATACAAACCGTGAAGACTTATGAGCTACAAGGTATTTTGAAATGCTGACATATGAAATTCTGTCTATATGTACACACGTGTAACTTTCGGATCACCTGTCCAACTATAATTCCCAGAAATCAATCAATAGAAAAAGTATTAAATAGAACTCTTTCAAAGAGCAAGGAACAGACTCCAGATTTTTTCTAGACCAGATCTAGGAGTAAAAGTAAGGATGGGTTAACCAATAAAGGCACACGCTGTCAGTAAAAGTTATAGGAAAGGCAGATACATACAGGGACATGGTATCTCTCCCGGGGATGCAGAATACTTATTTCTACCAGAAAATAACTTCCCTTCAGATAATTTACAGACCCTACCAAGAAATATCTTGAGGTACAATATATATTACTACATCCTGGTGATTTCACCTTTGCACAATTGATAAGTATTGGTTTGAAAGTATTTTCTAGCTGAACATAACCAAATTGTAATTCAACATAATTCAGCTAGTCAAAGGCAGATATTTATGAAACAAAAGCAAATTGGACCTGTCCATTAGGAAAATGGGGTGTGAAATGAGTTTCGGACTACAACTCAGGGATCCAACCTAGCACTGTTTGTTAAAGAGGGAGAAGTTGAGGTACCCTTTTTTCCCCCCTCTCCCAATACAGCTCTCTTCAACCATGACAAACCAGGAGACTTCTGAACAGAAGTAACCTCAGTGTAATTTGACAGTGACGCTCTCTGCTCCTTCCCAAAGATAAACAACTGCCTCCCAACCATCAATGATTCAGAGCTCTGGCAAGTCCACTCCAACATTTTGCTGGAGAAAGAACACATGCACACCCTTCTCCTGCTGGACTAAAGAAACTAAGGATCAAGCCCCTCTGGAGAAGGGGACAGAAATGGACAGAAGCACTGCAGGACTTAGTTAATAGAAAGATAGTCTCATAGAAAAGTCTCATGGCATATGACAAACACCTAGTAATTTCTGTAATATATGGATATTGATCTAGGCTATTACAAACTGTCTGTAGGCTAAAGGACCTGAACCATCATTCATTCTGCAGCATGACATTTCAAGTTGTCATCATCTCAGAGAGATGAAAAGGTACAACCTTGAGAACCATTCTAGATCATGCAAGAAGCCCCTGAACCTTCCTGCATCAAAGAGATGACAAAAAAGACAGTCTGAAGTTAGGAATATATTCCTTCAGTAAAAGTAAGTTAAGAGACAAGCAGCCATGAGTTAGCAGAACTATGGTCTGACCGTGGCAAACTGCAGAAAGAAGTGAAAAGCCACCATTTTTGTACAGCTCAGCCATTAGACAAGCATGCTCTTACTGATGGCTCTTTACAGAGCCCTCTCTGACCTGATATTATCAATTATGCTAAGGCAGAACAAGGTAAGGAAGAGAGACAGAATTCAGCTTCTGTAAGTTCCACCAACTTTAGACAATGTATTCCTTATGCAAGCATTTTAAGAACACATAAGGATGTAACACAAAGACTAAATTGAAAAATTCTCACTTAATGTTTAAGTTCAGCATACATTATGATGACAGCTGAAGATACAACAAAGAACACCTTACACAAAAAGATGAAATTCCTTTCCTGTTTGAATAATTCATTCAGAAACACTGCATATGATTAAAGTATGTCCTATGAAGTAGAAAAATAACTCAATGCAAATAAGCTCTCATGCATAAAACTGGGTAGTTAGCCAGGGTGGGAGAAGAAAACCGTTTTATCTAAAAGTGAACCAACAGATAGAAGCATAAGCAACAGTACAACCCAACACCACTACTCTGCTCACAGCTGCTATATGCTGTGACAGCACACACAAACTAACAGATTAACAAAAGCTAGTAACAAACAACAACAAAGTGTGCAGGAACAAGCAGGAAGTAGAGATTTCTAGGATTAATCATTGTATGTATAAGGATCTGGCTACAAAAGCATATAAAATCCTTTAGGAGCTGTTTTCTGCTAATGTTGTGGCCATTCCTTTCTGCTGTTAAGTTTTACAATCAGTTTCTTACAGTTTGCTGACTTAATACCTCAGAGCAACTGCTATGCTTTTCAGTTCACAAGCAAAAAAACTGAAGTTACTACACAAATTGAGATGACTGAATAAATTATGTCCAGCTACCTGCAACAGAGATTGCTGTGGAAGAGGCATTCAGAGACTGTGCAAAACAAAAATAGTATTTCTAATTATTAGTAAATATCTAAAATTACCACCTGCAGCTATATTACATTAGTGTGTCAGAAAGTAACCGAAAGTCTGAGGAGGCTGTAAATCCACATGCATTCAAAAGTTTAAAAACTAACTTGGGCTGATTGACTTAAAGAAATCTGATATTTGGACTAGGACTTACAGAAAGAATTTGGAATGAGCAATTTTGATTTCATGACAAAGCAGATGGAGAGTTTTATTCTTCTCTTTCAAACACTTTGTTCTGTCCTTCATTTCCAACTAAAGTAGCGAGATAACCAGTCAGGATGCTGCTCTTAAAACACAAAAGGACCACAGCATGTACCACAAATGCTAGACTATGACAGTTCCAAGTATTAAGAGAATTTTTCTTTAAAGCTTGAATCACTAACTAGAAAGTCAAAAAACAAAACAACTCCAAGCTCAAGAACAGGTCTGCCAGCCACAAAAAACTGCAAGGAGAAGAAATAGCAAAGGTAGGGCAAGAGTTGTAGAGACCACATTTTTTTTCTTTTATCTCTTGCTCATACTTGTTTAAGTAGACTGCATATAACTCAAAGATGCAACACTCTCCAGCTCTCAGGTTTATTTTTTAAGAGAAGTACAAGTGAAATTCATGTAGCATCATGATTACAGCTCCCCCACACTGATGGAGATCAGGGACACCAGTGTGACTAGGTCAATGCTTTACGATACTTTGAACCATAGTAGTCACTGACAAAAGGAAGAAGCCACAGTCATATTGCCAAAGGCAAGACTGACTTAAGTGTTTTAAGGTATCTACGTGGGTCCACTGTTACCCGACAAAAATTATCCTTGCACTGTGAGGTTAGGAGCCTGTATCCCCATCACTTGTTTTCATGAAACCTCACAGAAGCATTACTAACACCACCCTCTCAAGTATGAAAGCAGCAACTGCACTAGAAGCTACAACTCACATTCCTATCTCTAAATTAAAAATAGCTTCTTTCAACAATATTAACTACAGAATTTCAGCTTTATAAAGAGGATGAGGAAAAAATAAACAAGGCATTTCTTAGGGGACAGTAGTTGTTCTTCGCTTAAGCATGACAAAGTTTTATGAAAATATTAAAAAGCTGAGTTTGATCCTATTCACAAACCAGTGTGAACCAAAGATAAACAAGCAGTTCATATAAACCTACAAATGACAGTACCTAGTTTTTGATACTTGAAATTACCACTTTGCAGATAAACACCTTCAGACAGAACAGCACTTCTTAGAAGCTAAATAGAATCCTGAACATAACTTTTGAACAGAAACCAGACTATTGCTTAATCCTTCAAAATATGAATATTCATACCTAAAGTGGACTCAGGGAGGGTCTGCGTGACAGGGTGAAAACTCCAGGACAGCTTGCACACCCTACTAAATACATATTTATTTGGTATCACATGCTGTACCCTAAGCTATCAAAACTAATATTCTGATTATGCAAATACTTAAGGTAGTATGTCTTCTTAGATCTCTATATCCACCTGAAGCTAGGAGAAGAGAGCTTAAACAAAAAAAAGAAAATCCTACATATACACACACTTTCTTCCAACACAGTTTTTTTAATTAGTGTTCCAACTGAACTTACTAAGAAGGTGACAGCTCAATACTAAACACTCACTCTACATCCCCTCTACTGGTTTGAATGTTATCCCAGAGTTCTTGTAAGCTTCCAGGCAAAGATTAGTATATACTGTACATCCCACTTACCAAAAGTAACTCCGTAATTTCTGCATTGACCTTGTTCCCAGTTCTAGTAAAGAGACCTGAAAGTGGGAACAAGGATCATATAAAAGTTAATGAAACTTTAGTTGGCAAGCAGGACACACAGCATCAAACTAACCTCTACTTCTGAGCTCACAAATGCTTATAATGTAGTAACTTGTCCCATGTCAACTGCTCCTTATACAAAGCAGAACTTCTAGAACATCCAGAATTCACAATACTAGTAGAAAGAAGTCCCTTGCCCAGTCTTGGCTACTGTTTTGGAAGCAAAAGCTACACAGCTTAAAAAAAAAATAAAATTCTAAGGATCACAGCTAAAACATGCATTAGCAAGGTTGCACTGAAACAGAACAGACCACTGGTTTACTTCCATGAATTTTATTAAGCAGAATAAGCATTAACATACACTTAGGCAAGCATTCTTCCAAAATAGCTCAATACAGTTTTAGCAAGGTATACAGTGATCTAAATGGAGTCACAATTAAAATCAGCAGGTTCAGTTGCCAAACACAAGATGGGAAAAGGGTCAGGTTATAAAAGATTGATACAAGAAGTACTGTATATCAACTTTTAAGGAAGTGAAGGATGCTGTTTTTGCTAACAATACCTGAGCTGAGAGCAAATACAGAAAAACTGAAGACTACCGCATATCCACAGTGAAGTCCTTTTACTTCTAGACTGAGCGTTTTAATGAGCATCACTTGAACACTTCCTTTCTTTAAGCATCCTGACAAACACACTTTAACTACACTTCCTTATACCACTTGCCTCCATGTAAAAGTTTCATGGTTTCATTTTTAATAAAACACACACAAACTTTTAAGAGTCAGGACAGCATACTAACTGCCTCACTTTGAAATCTATTCATGGATACTTCTACCAGAAATTCAGACAAGAAAAAGGTCTTCTTTAAAAGGTAACAATTCAAGGTTGCTTTCTTTCATGCAGTCTAACTCTCAAGATGGCCTCAATTACCTGAAGCCAGGCAGAAGCTTTGATAACAGAGCTCCTAACACATCCACAGTCTGATCAGACTGGTTAGGCTGGCCTTGTTGATGAGTCAGCTTTTGCTCTTCTTTCTCCAAATAGTCTGGTCAGAGGGGGAAAACCTCCAGGGTTTTTCTTATGCTGGCAACAGCAAAGATCTGTGGAATGGAATAACCTCCCTACTGACAGTACTTCAGAACCATAATCCTCATTACTAAGCTGAGCAATTCCAGAATTTCCAAGTTCACAGGACAGTGTTCTCCTGAAGTAAGACTATGAAGTCAAGCATTGTATCTGACTCCTGCTTTTGCAAAACTAAGCAAATTGAAACCCAATCAGACATTTATTTCAGTGATAAAAGACTCAGCATGTAGTATGTGGTCTTTGACAGCTACATTTTTGAAACTAATTCTACCACTGAAGTAAGATTACTTGTACCGGTTGTGTTCATTCAATATTTAGTGACCTAATCAGCACACTCCATGCTATTGTTTCAGTGCTTCCAGCATTTTCAGTATTGTTCTGGAACTCCTTTGGAGGAGGAACCAGGAAATTAACATGAATCCACCATTTCAAATCTAATACATAAATAAATCTGCTTTCAAAGATCAGACTTAAACAGTCTTTCAGAACTCCAGAGGTCTGCATCTATACTCCTCAGTGTTTATTTCAACCACCACTCTAGTTACACATCTGCTGAAGACAGGACTGTTTATCATTTGAAGCAGTATACGAACATCAGCAGACACCTTACCTGGGCCCATTGCTGTCTTTCCTCTTGGCTGAAACACTGCTTTGTTCTGATTTTGCACCTCTGTCCATATGCTCACTGGCATTCCTCTCCACAATTTCTCCCTCATCCAGTGCCCTGTGCAAACGGTAATTCACCATCTTCAAAACGATAAAGAGAGCTGCTATCACCGGGCAGTAGACAGCTACTATCATCATGGAAGAAGGAAGGGCCTTTCAAAAGAGAGTAAAACAGTTAATGAACACCAGGTCAAATGTCCGTAAGAATACATAAAGCTATCTAGAGTTTAACACTGTCTTTCATACAGAAAATATTGATCATACTAAAAATGAAGGTTTAAACATACACCCCCTATAGTCAAACATTGTGTGGAGATTGCTAGAAGTCTAGCAACATAGAAAAAAGAACAGTTGGACTACAAGATAGCAAAGCACCACAGCAGCATGCTAAGTAGACCTATCACTGGAGCCTGAGAACCAAATTCAACTCTTGTCATCTTTTTCCAGGCTATTGGAATGTAAGATCTAGACTAGGAAACCTGGAGCTTCCATGATTTATCTCACACACAATATCTTTGATTAGTTGTTATGAATTAAAAAAAAAAAAAAAAAAGGACAGCTTTCAAGTTGCTTAAAATCTTGCTAAACCAAGCACAGAGTATGACCTTACTTCAGGGCAAGTACACAGCACCAAGTCCATCTTGGAACAATTGATGTGCGTTTGACAGCATGGCGGATGGAAAAAAACCTGCTCAACTACCCGACATAGATGTTTTGACTTAGATTGTCAGCTTCCAACAGCTACTGTTGCATGACAAGATACTGGCAAGTCACAAAAGCCAAACTTCGCTAGCTGCATACATTTGTGGCTCACACATCTGAGCAGTAGTTCACAATAACCTACAAGACCACACACTGCAAAGGTTATTTTGCTAGACTATTACTTGCCCATGGAAAGGCAGCCAAAGCAGATGTTCTGAAGAGAATTTTTCAGCTGTGTCAAAGGTGGTCATAAGCCACATGAAAAACCTCAACTTTTGAAATTCCAGAGTTAAGACTTCTCATGCAACTTTTGCTGAGGCCCATAAGGCTTTTACAGATCAATCACTTCAGCAACAGGTATTGATTAAGTGGCATGTAATAGCTATTTAAAAGTGTTCAGAGTACTAGTTAAACCTCAAGGTTTTCATCCTCCTAATTCACCTTTTATTCATATTTATAATTTTGCCATTTCCCTACGCAGTCACTAATCAAAATGAGATATTAACTTAGTCCTCATCCACTTTCCTTACAAAAGCAACAAGAGTCTGTGTTCTCAAATATTCTGCTGCATCACTATCCTTTACCCCACTGATGGTGCAGTTTGATATAAAATTCTAGTAGTCATAAATATATATATATACACACATATATGACAATCAGAATTAAACAGCATTTGTTACCCAGCACAAACATTAATTTAGTAGATGAGAAGAACAAATTAACTCTTTTTAGATCTCCTAGCCTAAGGAGAATTCCAGCTTGTTTTGTACACCTAGTCTCCCCCCCATACAGACCATTGCAAGGGAAGAGTCTATGGTGATCAAACCAACATGCACATCTTGCAGAATCAGAAAGGGAAGACAATTGGAGAGTAAGAGAGAGAGCCCTCACTATTCTGCACATAAAGCTAGTTTGTCATTTAAAAAAGATCCAATTACAACATGAATATTTCTACATATTCAAGAGCTTATTAGTCCTAGAAGAACTGGCAGCGCTCCTCACAAAATTTAAGCCTCAAGTTTAACAAAAACAGTTTGAAGAGATCTCCAAAGTATTGTACGAATAAAGAAATAAAAGAATAAACATTTCTAAATATTGTATTGACTGTTGACTTCAGAACAAAACCAATCCTTAATCTGGCTGCTCACTTTCTGGCAGTAAGCAAAAACAAATAATCGATATAGCACTTCTAAAGCCAAACAAGTATAAATAATTGAGTCTGGAATCAATCAGGAGGCAGGTTACTTATTAAGATTCTTTTATTAAAGAGATCAAGTTTAACTTGTTTTGGAGGAAAAGGTGCGTTAAGTCAACACCTAACATAACATTTGAAGTAGGACAGGCAAACTAAGCTAAGGTATGCTAACTTGGATTTTGCATACTGAGCTGGAAAAGACCCTAACGGACAGGGAGATCTACTTACCAAGCACAACCTCAGGAGAAGAAAAAGGAAACAAAGCTATTTAAAAACAGCATCAGTAAGTAACCAGGAGCCACAGTGATGCTCATGGCATGCATACAACCCCTGAAGCAATGCTACAAGGGTTTCCTCAAGAAATGCAGCGCTTCTGCTTCCAACAACTCCAGAGGCAGCTAGCACCCTGCAGGCAATGGCAAGCCCTTAACTTTGGCAAAATGTATGAGTTTCTGTACCTAAGCAGCCTGCTACCCAATCACAAACACAACTTCAACTACCCTCTCCTTTACAAGCACCTAGTGTTCAGAATGCCGTTACCGGAAGAGTCAGTTTAACACTAGATGACACAAGCTACAATTAGTCTATAAAAGACACACCTATACTTTTATATCTGGAGAGATCTTCAGTTTCTCCCCTTACTCTGTCAGAAATGAGGTCACACAGTGTAGCCAGTTTATCTTGTGGAACGAAAAATCTACACATCCTGTTCTGTAAAGGAAAGCTTTGAGAACAAGTCTGGGAAAAGGCAAAACACCTCATGTAACTTGCAGCAAACCCAATAAAGATTTAAAGGCTGCATTTTCCTCATACCTTGTTTCCACAGGATTGCAGAAAGCTAAAAAAAACCCAACAAACCATAGGTTACCTCACTACTTCTCATTCTTCGTATTAAGTAGCAGTTACTCCTCTCTGGATAGGGCATATACTCTGGGAATAGAAGACATTTTAGCATGTCTGGCATACATTAAGTGCTACCCATGGTACCAGCAACTTCCAGCCTCAAGAGGAAGCTACTGCAACCGCACCCAAACCACTGGTGCCTTCTCTACTTTTCTTTGCCAAACTTAGAATCACAGAAGTGCTTAGGTTGGAAAAGACCTTTAAGATCATCAAGTCCAACCATTAACCTACCACTGCCAAGTCCAGCACTAAACCATGTCCCTCAGTGCCACATCTACACATCTTTTAAATACCTCCAGAGATGGTGACTCAATGACTTCCCCAGGCAGCCTGTTCCTGTGCTTGACAAGCCTCACCAGTGCTGAGTACAGGGGGACGATCATGTCCCTAGTCCTGCTGGCCACACTTTTCCTGATACAAGCCAGGATGCTGTTGGCCTTCTTGGCTACCCAGGCACACTGCCAGCTCACATTCCAACAGCTGCGAACCAACACCCCCAAGCCCTTTTCCACCAAGCACCTTTCCTGACACTCTTCCCCAAGCCTGTAGCATTGCATGGGGTTGTTGTGACCCAAGTGCAGGACCCAGCATGGAGCCTTGCTGAATCTCATACAACTGCCCTCAGCCCTTTGATCAAGCCTGCCCAGAGCCTCTGTCAGAGCCTTCCTACCCTCAAGCAGATCAACATTCCTAACCAACTTGGTGTCATCTGCACACTTACTGAGGAGGCATTTAATTCCCTTGTGCAGATTGTTAATAAAGATATTAAACAGAACTGACCCCAGCACTGAGCACTCGGGAACACCACTTGTGATGAGCCACCAACTGGGTTTAACTCCGTTCACCACAACTCTTTGGGCCCAGTCATCCAGATAGTTTTTTAGTCAGTGAAGAGTACATCTATCCAAGTCATGAGCTGCCAGTTTCTCCAGGAGAATGCTGTGGGAAATTGTGTCAAAGGCTTTACTAAAGTCTAGGTAGACAACAACCACGGCCTTTCCCTCATCCACTAAGCGGGTCACCTTGTCATAGAAGGAGATAAGGTTAGTCAAGCAGGGTCTGCCTTTCATAAACCCATGCTGACTGGGCCTGATCACCTGGTTGTCCTGTACATGCCGCATGATGGCACTCAAGATGAGCTGCTCCATAACCTTCCCTGGCACCAAGATAAGACTGACATGCCTGTAGCTTCTCAGATCCTCCTTCTGGCCTTTCTTGTAGATGGGTGTCACATTTACTAACTGCCAGTCAACCAGGACCTCCCCAGTTAGCCAGGGCTGCTGATAAAAGATGGAAAGTGGCTTTGTGAGCACTTCTGCCAGCTCCCTCAGTACCCTTGGGTGGATCCCCTCCAACCCCATAGACTTGTGTGTGTTTAAGTGCTGCAGCAGTTCACTAACCGTCTCACACTGGATTACAGGGGCTTCATTCTGCTCCTCATCCCTGTCTTCCAGCTTGTACCCAGGGAACAAGTGGTCTTACTATTGAAGACTGAGGCAGAGAAGGCATAAAATACTTCAGTCTTTTCTCATCCTTTGTCACTATACTTCTCCTTGCATCCAGTAAAGGATGCATATTCTCCTTAAACCTCCTTTTGGTGCCAATGTATTTATAGAAGTATTTTTTGTTGCCTTTTACAGCAGTAGCCAGATTAAGTTCTAAATGGGCTTTGGCCAAGCATTCGACTTCAACTTCCATTTGGGGTCTTCTCCCCACAAGCCAAGACAAGTGAGATTAGTATTTAAACTGTGCTTGACATTTAATTACATTTGAGGAAAGACAGGTCTCTCACCAGCATAACTGAGAGTCCATTCTCAAGACTGGAACACAAATCTACGTCCTATGAATTTGCAGCTAGATCTCACATCAGTTCTTTTCACAAATAATAAAGCACTTTTATTGGGCACAACAGACTAAAAACCTCAGGTTAGAGCTTGTTAGCAGATACCACCTGGCTACAAGTCTGTAGCTGCTACAACATTTCAGAGAACATCCCATTTTACTGCACATCTCTAGTCACTTCCATTAGCACCAAAAGTAAATGTACACTGCACAGCAGTAGTCACAACAGCAGCTCTTGTAGGAGAGAAGAAAGAGCTAGACATGACCATACAAAAACCTGCCTGCTTTAATTGCATTCTGTTGAAAACTACAGTCATCTAACGGCTGAACAAGCCCAATCATTGGATAAACTCCTAGCTGAAAATAATTCCCTAAATCTTAAAGGGATGTTAAGCACTGCTCTCCAAAGATGGAAAAGGAAGGACACAGATCTTCTACCACCGTTCCCTCAGGAGTTACTTTCCAAATTTAAACCTTTCAAGACAACTTATGAAAT